CTTGCATGCAGGTCATGGAATGAGAGAGATATATATGGTTCCTCAAGGCTCGATTCTGGGCCCCATCCTTTTTCTACTCTACATACTGCCCCTATGTTCAATTCTCACAAAACATAATATCCCCTTCCATTGTTATGCTGATGAGGTACAGATTTATCTGCCTCTCAATCAAAATGCCAACTCACTACAGCAGTTGATGGACTGCTTAACAGAAAGCTTAATAAAGCTATGTTGGGTAAACTCCCAACTTATATATGCTCTTTGATCTCACAGAGAGTGGCAAGTAGCTATTGCCTGAGATCCCAGGATGTGTTTTTATTACATGTGCCAAGTGCTAGGACTGTTTTAGGTACAAAAGCTTTTATGTGCGCTGCTCCTCTAGCTTAGAACACTATGCAAAATGTTTTGAAACTGAGCATTTTGATTCCCTTGCATCATTTTAAAGCACGGCTGGATGAAATGTTATTGGATACCTGTCATTGTGAATAGGTTGCTAATTTATACCCCTGTAATTATGTTGTGATGTCCTTTTTGTTTTCTGTTGTTTTTATGTGTAACCAATGTACCGCAGGTCTCCCTTGAAAAAGAGATCGTTGATCTCAATGCGATTTTTAACCTGGTTAAATAAAGGCTAAAGAAAGAAATCAACACTTAAAACTAATTTCTTCTCTCTGGCCTTCTAGCCTTCTCTTATCAAGCTCCACTTTTGTGGAATTCGGCTTCCGGTTTGTGTTCGGGCGGCCGATAGCCGATCCGTTTTATTGGTATGCTTATGACCTTCCTTTTTGATAAAGCTTATAGCTGATATAATAATCTAATAAGACTGCATTGACGTAGATACGCTGTGCATCTTTACCTATATTTGGGTCCTTGCTCTTTCACTTAAATCCTAAAAATTTGGATCGTATATTGAAAAATAAGGTTTTTACTACTACTCATTCTTCTAAATCTTGTCTCTCTCTACTTATCATACTCTCTACTCCTGTAATCGATTCTTTCTATCCTCTCTTTATCCAAAACCTTTTCCCTCTCTAACCTCTCGAGGTTTTATTAGAGGGAAACAGGTTTGCAGAGTGGCTTAAGCAGGCCGGGGAGTGTTACGATTCATAGACACAGCGTACCTCCCTATCTCTCACCAATTTCCAACTAAGGCTCCAGTGGGGACCTTGTTCCCTGCGTGTGCCTCTCCACCTCTGTTTCTTACTCTCTTACTTGCTACCCTTTTCCCTCAACCTATCCTAAGGGAGTGCTTGTTCTTCCTTCTGTCTGTCTGTGTCTGTGTATTCTCATGTTCCGATTAACCCAGCCAAATTGTTCTTCTTTTGTGTCTATATCGACGCCGGGATCCGGAGTCGAGGCTGATCCTCTTGCTGTGGTCCTGTGCCCTGGATCCTCTATCCTGAGTTCTGGATTAAGTCGTGGACTTCGGGTCGTGGCTGGGCCTGTCTCTGCGGTCCTGCCTGGCTCTCGTCATGCTGCTTCCCTGATGGCTCCCACAGGATTGTTGTTGACATCCTCGTGGATTCATCTTCTTATTATAGACACATGCATTTCCAAACATTCGGTCTACCTACCTACGCTGTAAAACGTATTATCTCTTCGATTTACACACGGCATCTATTGCACTTCTGTCCGTCCTGGGAGAGGGATCCCTCCTCTGTTGCTCTCCCCGAGGTTTCTCCCATTTTCCCCTTTGAAATGTGGGTTTTTTCTCTGGAAGTTTTTCCTTGTACGATGTGAGGGTCTAAGGACAGAGGGTGTCGTTTTTTCTCATACTGATATTCTGAACAAACTGTGCTGTTGTATTTGCTGTAAAGTGTCTTTACTGTAGGGTATTTTTATTATTTGTACAGCACTTTGGCTCGACCAAAAATCGTTTATAAATGTGCTATATAAATAAAACTTTGATTTGATTTGATTTGATATATGTCCCCATCAACACCATATGTGAGAGAATTGGAAAAGACATGTCTAACTGTCTACCAGCATGTCATGCTGGCTGTGGCACAACAAGTAGTTTGTACAGAATAGGAAAGACAACAGCATTCACCAAACTCAAGACCCATCTCAGCGAGCTCAAAGATCTGGCCCATTTTGGACTCTGCCAGTTTGGAAGAGTCTTTGCCAGTCGCAAGAGAATTTGCGCTTCTGCTATATGGAAAAAAGAAAAAGGAAAATGGACTGATGTGCACAAACTGAGGTTCATAATTGCATCAACAACAGATGCAGCCTCGGAAAATCTGCCGCCAACAGAGGATGCATTTCAACAACATGTAAAGAGCAATGTTTCAGACAGCGATATGGTGCCCAAACCCAAACCCTTGTTATGGAGTCCTGTTGGCAAGGGGTGGATTGTCAGTGATGGGGCCATTCAACCAGTGCTATTTACAAAACCCCCAGCACCTACAGAAGTGAGAGACATTACTCACTTGTATTGCAAAGATGCAAAGTGTGGAGAGAGTGGAAAGTGCCAGTGCCTCTCTGTTGGCCTTCCCTACGGAGTTCTGCACCTGCTGTGCAGAATGTCAAAATGTGTCCCCTAACGTTTCTGAGGAACCTGACATTTAACATTCTATTCTAGTATCTATATACTTGACCTCTCACAGAATTATTCGATGACTTGTATACTGTACTTTGAATTAAGGTTCCAGTTTCAATCAAACCTGTACTATTTACACCTATGTTTTAGAGGCTTGCAATTTAGAACTAATACACTTTATTTTATTGGGTTACTCTTATTCTGACTATTTGGTGATGTAGTTCAGCCACCTGGTATTTCCCTCTCCAAATATAATGACCATCAGAGTGAGCATTCTTAATTTATAGGCTAGTATGCCACTTATCCCCCATTCGGAATTTGACTGTATCAGAGAAGAGGCCTATGTCTAAAGAAATCTCATTTGCAATAGAACTGTACCAGATATTTCCATACAACTACTGGTTAGTGTTCAATAGCAACCTAGACAATTCAGTAATGGTATATTTTTAGGGATTACTGTTTTTCTGATAAATGAGAGAAAAGTGATGTTCCTATCACCAAAAAGTACAATTTCCGTCTAAACTAAATTTAAACTATAATTCAGTATTCTTTTAGGTAGATAATTGTCTGACTATTTGGTGATGTAGGACAGCACCTGTTTCATACCTCAGCAAATCTGAAGAGGAAAAGAGTGATCATTCTCAAGTTATGGGCTTTTCTGTCACCTTTCCCATATTCGGCCTGGTCTAATTTGGCTCTTTTACAGGGATTGGGGTAGTTCTAAAGAACAACCCAAAAAAATTGTTTTCCCCCAAAATAAAATTTGACAACAATCAATTTCATTAATGGGAGGCCCTAAAGATAAGAAAAATCATTGTTGTGTTTTGTTCTACCTCGGGTAGGGGTATCTCGAAAACTAAAGCCTTTTTTGAGGACTTGCTGCTAGACTATTACATGTTGCCGGCCGTCAGCGAACCGAGCCGGTCGTCAACGTCCGCTGACAACCGGCCGTTCTGTGATTCTCCAGAACACACAGATGCAGGGCCGGTTCTAACCAATTTGCTGCCCTAGGCGAGATTTTAGCTGGCGCTACAAAAGACCAATACACTACAAAAACATAAACTTATTGACATAGGTAATATACATAAAAAAGGCTTCAAATGTATTCAGTATTGTATGAACATGTTTTAATTGGGGTGTGGACGTCACATCCTCTAGGGGGGTCCGTGGGTAGTTTGAACATTTTAAAGTAAAATGCTTCAATCTGGTGCACTTTGAGCACACAATTACTATTGTTTAGATCTAGGGGGTACAACTCTAAACACCCATATGAAAGAGATCAGTTTACATTTTAAACGATATTTTTGGTTTACTGTCCTATAATATACATTGAAATGATTTCAAACCTGTTTATCCCAATAATTATAAAGGTGTGCATTGGAAATATTTGTTTACATAAATTGCATTTATCTCTCTCGCTCGCTCCCACACCCACTTTGGCTGTGAGCTGATAAGCCAACACCCCCCACTTTCATCACTTACAGCGCCCATCGTACAGGGCAAATGAAAAGTGTAACCGGGGTGAAAAGGGTGTTACATTTACAAAATTATGAATATTGTTACATCAAGGCCGAAAATTAGGATGAGCGGCAACGGTCAAAAATGTTTTTTTCCCTCCCAGAGCTGCCAGCGCAGCGCCCCCCCCACATCTGGCGCCCTAGGCGACCGCCTATGTCGCCTATGCCAAAAACCGGCCCTGCACAGATGGCCAGTCCGCCCCTGGTATGGTGTACCCTTCATTGGAAAAAAGTGTAGCAACTTTTTTGGTAACAACATCACAGTTTATAATCAACACAATAAGTAGTTAAATGTTTACCTCGGAACTACTTTCTACTAAAGAAAAAGTATATGAAAGAGTTGAGATTGACTTTTGTGGATTACAATGACAGAATGAGCAGCATGTAGCTTTTCTGATGTGATGCCCGTATTAAAGTATTACCAGTCGTCCCCTTTGAGATTTTTTTTAACAAGGCTGCGGTTCTGTTCACGCTATGCTGCACTTCCCTTGTTAAATATCTTTACAAAACAAATATTTAATGTAGGGTTGGTTACATTGATCAGCTTTGATAAAACCATAAGCAATCATAAAAGCATGTTGGCAGCTGTTGAATTGTGCTTGCACAGTAACAGGAGTTTCAAACAACCTTGTGTCGTTTCATGTAAAACAAACCAGGTAGATCCTTATATAACTTGTAATTGTGTAGGAGTTTTATCTTAATATCACCTGGACTTTCGACTTGGTGGGTGATAAATGTGGTGTTATGTACACTGAAGTTCATGTTTTTCAGTTAGCATTGTCCCATAAGAGATTTGAGTTTTTTTGACAAAAGACCCACAGTGGGTCTGGATCTTATGCAATCACCCAGACTTGGTTAATGAAAAACAAACAGCACTGTGGAGCCCGGGAAGATGGGAGATTTCTTGCTTACACAACAGGGAATAATTTGTAATAACGCCTTTTTTAATACATCAAACAACAGTTTCAAAAGTTAAAGCCACATTGTTTTATTTCATTATTACTAGTAAAACATACACAAGGAAGAATAGTGTTTTCAATACAAAATCATTTTCAGGATAAGAGTGTACAGCATCAATATAAGATTGGTTATTCAGAGTTTATATATCGTTCAATGCAGGTTGTGTTTGATATTTATGAATGAACATTAGGCAATGCAATTTTTCCTACATGTATTCAAAAAGGCAATAAATGGAATCACTTCACAAGTTTGCTTAAAGTTACTACGAGGAACTTTCCTTTTGTGTTGCTCTGACTGCAGGTTCTGATTCTGGTACCGGCTTGATATCCCCTGCCTCAGCAAAAATCAGACCTGTATGCACCAATGACAAGTATTCAGAATAACTTCATAAAAAAAACAATCTTAACTTGGATTGATGGTCTCGTTTACTATGTATATAGTCATACAGATCTATTACACAAAGACCGGTTAAAAGTTCCTCTCTGTAACTTTAAAGGATAATGACATGACTCTCACTTTTTAGGTGTTATCCACCACCCAAGGCCTTTTAAAATCCCTCCACCTGCTCCCATTATAAGTGGTGTTACGGCTTCAACTACTACTTCTTCTGCTGCCATAGCAGCACCAGCACCAGCACCAGCTGTGATTGTTGCTCCAGCTATAAAATGAGTACCGTACTTGTTCAAACGGTTTCCCCACTTGCTCCACCATTCCCTTGAATTCTTCTTTCTCTGGGCCTCTTCGTACATGCTCCAGGTATAAGGGTGGTGGTAACCATTCAACTGCAGCATCTTGTCTATCTTTTTAAACAGATCAGCCACCTGAGTGCGATTATCTCTGCATGTGTTTTCAAACACAATGTACCCAGCCGTAAAACCACTGATACACTCCTTTAGTTCGGGTCCCTCGAGTAAAAAAGTCTCAATGGACTTCTCCTTGAGCTCATCCTCCTTGAGCTCACCCCCCCTGGTGAAAAGCACCAGTGTGTGTTTGGAGGCTTCCTCACCAAAGTTGTCTTTGACCCACTTGATGGCAGACTTCTCCTCTTCTGTGAACCGTACATCCAGTCTGATCACCAGCAGGAACACATGTGGTCCGGGGTCAGTCAGTGTGAGACTTTGAGACATTTCACTTTTAAGCTGCTCTTCCTTAATCAATGTGTCCAAGATACCAGGAGTGTCGACTACAGTCACAGTTCTTTTATCAAAGCAGCCAGACTCTTTTTTACATGTCTGGGTCACAGAGGATGGAGAAGCCTCTGAGGTGAAAACATCCTGTCCCAGGATGGTGTTCCCTGATGCACTCTTTCCTGATCCAGTCTTCCCCAGCAGGACGATCCTCAGGTCGCAGCCTGTGGAACAAATCAAAGAGAGGCAGTTGCTTTGAATTCTTTGGTTTTACAACAGCTCACATAAGGAGTACAACAAGTGTTGTTGTGTGCTGTGCTGAAGCGCGTTGATCTTTGCACATATACTGCTGTATATACTGTATATGCGCCTCAGTGTATTTATTTGTATTTATACATTTTACATCTATATACCTTAACTTGTATATTTGTATAGTGCATTTATTTTGTACAGACCGCTGATAGATGTGTATATAACTGACTGTTTGCACTCTGGTTAGATCCTCTTAATTTCGTAACACTCTGCTTGCATTATGTAATGACAATAAAGTATCTAATCTTTTGTCAGCGCTGAGCTTAAGTCTGCAATGTTCAAAACAACAGATAGAGCCAGAAATCTAGGTGTAGTCATGGACTCTGACCTGAGTTTCAACAGTCACATTAAAACAGTTACTAAGTCAGCCTACTATCACCTAAAGAATATTTCTAGGATTAAAAGACTAATGTCACATCAGCATTTGGAAAAACTTGTCCATGCTTTTATCTTCAGTAGACTGGACTACTGCAATGGTGTCTTCACAGGTCTCACTAAAACATCTATTAGAAAGCTGCAGCTGATTCAGAACGCTGCTGCTCGAGTCCTCACTAACACTAAGAAAGTGGATCACATCACTCCTGTTCTGAAGTCTTTACACTGGTTCCTCACTAACACTAAGAAAGTGGATCACATCACTCCAGTTCTGAAGTCTTTACACTGGTTCCTCACCAACACTAAGAAAGTGGATCACATCACTCCTGTTCTGAAGTCTTTACACTGGTTCCTCACTAACACTAAGAAAGTGGATCACATCACTCCAGTTCTGAAGTCTTTACACTGGTTCCTCACCAACACTAAGAAAGTGGATCACATCACTCCAGTTCTGAAGTCTTTACACTGGTTCCTCACCAACACTAAGAAAGTGGATCACATCACTCCTGTTCTGAAGTCTTTACACTGGTTCCTCACTAACACTAAGAAAGTGGATCACATCACTCCAGTTCTGAAGTCTTTACACTGGTTCCTCACCAACACTAAGAAAGTGGATCACATCACTCCAGTTCTGAAGTCTTTACACTGGCTTCCTGTGTGTCAAAGAATTGATTTCAAAATACTGCTGCTGGTTTATAAAGCTTTGAATGGTTTAGGCCCAAAATACATTTCTGACCTCCTGCTAAATTATGAACCATCCAGAACTCTCAGGTCTTCAGGGACGGGTCAGCTTTCTGTCCCCAGAGTCAGAACTAAACATGGAGAAGTTCAGTTATTATGCTCCAAATATCTGGAACAAACTCCCAGAAACCTGCAGGTCCGCTGCAACTCTGACTACTTTTAAATCCAGGCTGAAGACTTTTCTTTTTGCCGCTGCTTTTAATTGAAACTGAGCGGTTGTGTTTCGTTTTTGGTTAATGAACATTTGGGGCTAGTAACCCCAGGGAATCAGTGTCTGGGGACTTTGTCCTGGCTGGTTTTCTCTGTGTATGCTACTCGGGACGTATGTGCCATACAAGCGTACACAGCTCATGTTCGGAGAAACCTTAAAGAAAGGCATCAGTAAATGGAACTTCTGTGTGAACTATTCATATCTTAAACTGCACTGTAACTTTTTATTCATGTACTTTTTATTCATGTACTGACTCTTTCAGTAGGCTACTCATGTATTTTTTCTTTTAATGTTTCTTTTATTATCTTTTCTTTTTAATTACTGTTTTTAAATGCCTTTGTCTGAATGTCTTTCATTTTTGTAAAGCACCTTGAATTGCCTTGTGTTGAAAGGTGCTACATAAATAAACGTGCCTTGCCTAATCTAATCTAAAAGCCTGCATATACGCTTAAACACAAGTAAAGACACTCACCTTCTCTTGAGCTCGAACCCATCTTGTTGTTGAGAAAAACACAAGTCAAAACTGACTTATTGCACAAAATCTGTCTTTGCTTTTCTCAACCTTTTCCCCCAGATCACAGTGTGCCTGTACTTATTTGTGCTGTGTTACTCCCCCCTCCCCCTCTTTTTAACGCAATGGTTTCCCTGGAAAGTGAAACTTAAACTGTCCGAAGGCTTATATGGAGACTTTGTGCAAAAGGACCAATCCCCTTTTGGCATGCACTCTTAACCTGTTAGGAGTCATGTTGTTGTCCCTCCATGTTTCACACTGAAATGTTGTTTAAAGGCACTTGGATTTCCCAGGATGGTGTTTCCAGAAGCACTTTATCCAGATCCAGTTTTTCCAACAAGAACAATTCTCAGGTCTTCCAGTTGAGTTGAACCTGTGGACAATAAAGAAAACACAAGTGTGAAAAAACTGTAATTAAAATAGCTGAGGCATTTTTTAGCTTCAGCTAAAGGCTAATCGACTGTAAGTGGACGTAGTCATGCATTGGTTTGTGGAATCAAATGTGGAATCTTCTAATTTGGCTATTACCATATTGTTATTTGTAAACCAGAAGTGCCATCAGATCGTCCAACTAAACAATTTGCATGCTGAAATATGTATGATGAAAAAAACGGAGAGCACTCAATCGAGTAAACACTGTGTGGTATTAATGTGAGTCACAAGGTAGCCACTCCCTGAAGCATACCTTGCTTTGTCTATTGTATTCCAAATGGGCCTTTACAAAATGACCGTCATGCTGTATTGAAAATTAACTGAAAATAGTGATAGAGACCATAACAGTCAGGAAAAGGTTTACTTGGGTAGTAAATTGAGAATTAGAGGAATTAGAGTTTTTGCATACAGTGTCGTTGCCCCCTGTTGGAAATAAGAAAGAATGCAAGCTTAAGCATTGATTCCATTTTCTTAGACCTGGATGCTGCCTTTTGTTTTTGCCAGCCTTCACTATACAGTATTTTGATCAGTTTTACAGCTCCATATGTTTGACTCTCTTCTCATAGCACACCTGCAGTACAGTGCCATTTGTACTGCAGGTGTGCTATGAGAAGAGAGTCTTTTCTACTTGGCATGAACAAGCCACTGATTGTACTGTTGATGGACAGAACTCTTCAAACCATAAGTGTATACAAACTCATATTCCCTCCTGTAAGTCCAACAAGATGTGATGAAAGCCATAGTGGATGTTCTGACTCATTAGCTTTATCTCACATGAAATCTTGACGTCCTAGCTGCACAATTCAGGTCTATTCTATAGTCCTATGTGTCTCAATGGGCTACTTTAACATAACGACCCAGTCCAATGTCACCACACAAATAAAACATCAGTGAAAGAGATTATTTTACATTTACAAAAGCTGAATACAGAGCTGTTACAGATCTTCCTACTGAGCAAAACTCTGCTCACTGACCAACGTAGATGGCATCTAAAAAATCCAAAGCAACACATTGTGTTTGTAGAACAGGGTGCTTTCAATTGTGAGCGGCCTTGGCAGAATAACACATTTTCCAGCGAAGGTAGTAGAAAATCAGAATCACGTTTCAGAGGCAAAGCTGTCATCCTCTCTGGGCACAGTGTAGACACGTGTGTACCATGTATGTGTGTGTGTGGTGATAATGGCATCCTCTTACCTGCAATGTGAATTTTCTCACGCGACAGCAGCAGCCTATAGTTATATATAATGAAGCAGCAATTTAGCTTAAATTAAACAATTTATTTGAACATATTATTTCCATAAAAGTTGTTGTCACTTTTAACAAATGCATCTATCTGGTGAGTTTTAAGAAAGGATGATAAAGCACACAAATGAATGTTTGAAGTACTTGTATTGAAGCCGATGATAAGTGAGCACTTCAACCAACACATGATGTAAGGGAGACTGTGTTGCTTCAGCAGATGTGAAGTACCAATCTTCCCTATCGTCCCTTAAATGGCTTATTCAAACATTTCATTAATGCACTAAACATCCCCTTTACTGGAGAGTCAAACTCTTTTTTACAGTTGTTATTGAATGCATCATGTACCTGCAAACAGTTCTATTGACTCAAAAGAGTTGGTTTCATTTGTCATCCCTAAATCTCTCTAAGCCTCTGCCTCAAGGCACGGGCATTGTTCTGCTGCTTTCAGTCATAATGACCCAGCTAGAGCTCTGTGAATGAAGAAACTATTATCAAGTTCTTTTGAGTGTTAACCCTTTTATCACTGTTTTTAGGGTCCATATGTTGTGTTAACGAACTGTGTAACTCTATTTTTCAAACGTAGGTTGGGATAAGGTCTGTAAAGCAGTGGCAATGGAAATGCGTATACTGTACCTGCAGGCAACTTTCACTAAATGCTGCACACACAGCAGAAACAACCAGCTAGTTGACAACTACCAGAAAAGGTGTGTTAGGTGCCCTTTTAATAAACACTAAGCCAAACGAAATTCATTACGAGGGAATTTTTTAACTTTTATTTCTGTTCATGGATATTATAAAATGTTCTGTTTGCTGGAACACTTTAATCATTGTAAGGTCATTTGGTCGTTTTGTGTTTATTGTGTTGTCATGTTTTATGTGGACCCGAGGAAAATAAGCTGATGTGATGGGGATCCTGATAAAAGACTAAATCCCTGTATGACTTGAGAGCAGTGGAAATCCTATTTTCAGGATGTGAGGGAATCCAGAGGAGAACTTCACACACACACACACACACACACACACACACACACACACACACACACACACACACACACACACACACACACACACACACACACACACACACACACACACACACACACACACACACACACACACACACACACACACACACACACACACACACACACACACACACACAATGTTATGCAATAATCATACAATAAAAAAATCAACTTCCTGACTCAACATCCTCCCACCTTTTCCTTCACGATAGATAGTAGATAGATGCTTTGATCTACACCTTTAAAATATCAACAGTACGTTTCAAGCAAACATAAGACATTTTTATGAGTAAAAAATCCTTATATCGCTCTTTTTCAGGTTTCATATTGGTATTTAGTGTCTCTACTGTGACATTTCTCCATATTCAATGTTCAAAAAGCTCTTTATTTTTCTCATACTGCCTGTGCTAACCAGAGCCCAGTCTGCTCTGATTGGTCTGTTGTGATTGGTCAACTGCTTAGAGTTGTCCCACCCCTTAGCCTATCACATAGGCGCGTTCACACCGGAGTACTTTTACCCGTACTTTTCCCGTTTAGTTCCGATAGTGCCTGGAATTTTGCGTTCACACCAAAAAGAGAACTTAGTTCCGAGAACTTTTACCCCCATTTGTAGTGCCTGCTAGAGAGGTGGTACCATCCTGGGGAGAAAAAAGTACCAATTTCGATCGGCTGGGCGAATTGCAAACCACGCCCCGTAAAACTCTGAAAGGTTTTGTGAAGCCGCCATTGTATTTGCTGGCATTAGCATTATTAGCATTAGCATTAGCCCCGCGCACCAACGGAGAGAGAATGGCAACACAAAAAAAAACATGGGAGCGGTGGAGTGATGAGGAGGTGTCGGCGTTCTGGCGATTTAGTCGGAAGGCTGGAGTCCCAGCAGCTTCTACTGAAGCCAGTCCCCAACTCCAGGGTCTTCGGGTGGCAGTATACGCCGTAAAGTGGTTAGCGGCCTGCCAGTAAACCCAAAGCAGAAGAAGAAGTGACGTCAGCGGCTTCATTTGCGTAATCTTCCCTCAGGGAACTTATTCCGGTGTGAACGCGATCTGTACTTTAGTTCCATGGGGGTACTAAGTGCCGGGCACTAAGTACGGCAAAGTACTTGGTGTGAAAGCGGCTAATGTGTTGGGGCACTAGCCAATAGAAGCACAATTGTTACTTAGTAATGTCACCATGTTGCAGAAGTAAACAAAGGAGTCCAATCGAGGTGTTTCAGACAGGGGGAGTGTGTTTTTTTTGTTTACATTTCTCTTTTAATTAAAATAAACTGTCCAGGCCAAACATATTGTTTTAGTTTTGGATCTTAAATTTAGCTTCATTCATTAGCCAAGCAAAACTAAATAAGACATCGATAACAGACAAAAAATAGATAGACGAAAATAAATGTGACACACTTGCATGTATTTTCTCATAATTCAAGTTTAATGTTTTCAAAAAAAATTAAAGGCGCCATATTCTCTTTTTATCCAAACATGTACTTTCAACATTATTCCTCACATCAAGGTAAAGAGAAGATATGCGAAGTAGAGAGAAAGATAATAAACAAGACAAACGGTTATAGCCCTCATCTGTAAGTGTAAGTGCTAAAGTCAGAGAAGAAGGACGTTTTCAGGTATGTGGAACACAAAAACATCTGATCCGAGTACACGTCTTTATGCCTATGGCTTCAAAAAAGATCCAATTTGCTTTGTACGATATACACAATGTTTGAAAGCAAGTGTACACATAACGAAAGTTGATAGAGAAAGAGAGACAAAGAGAACTATAAGAGTAGTTTTATCTGAAAATGGTAATTTACCATCAGAGGAACCATTGAAGACAGAGTAATGGAGCCTCCTGGGGAAGCAGGAGACCAGACATGCTTCAGAGAGAGGCTCTTTTACAAGCACATCTTTTATCCATTCTAGCATTTATTCTTTTACACCATCATACACACTATAAATAGCCCAACAATCTGAGGAGGTCCTTTCACTCAGTAAAGCATGTCATGTTATTGCAGTTAATGATATAAACAAGTTAACCCCTTGACCTTTCTTTAATAGTTAAAAAAATAATAAGTTTCATATATCAAAAACAACCACAGACAGGGTTAGTATTTTCCGTCTTATCTTTCTGTTTGTTGCCGTCAGCTGCACTTGATAACCATGGCAACAGCATGACAATGACTCTTGGCAATGGCGGTCATCTCCGCCCTCCACAGCAAAAACTGTTGCATGGATGTGCTGCATTTAGAAATGTTAATTCGATTGGTTACAGTAGTGACCTTGAAATAAAAAGCAGGTACGTTTCTAACTTACAAAGGCTAACATGGTATTTATTGACACAACTCTTAAAATGGCTATGTCTTAATCTTTTAAATAATATAGATCTGTAAACCCGATCACCACGCGAGCATGCAGTAAACACGGCACACTGCGTCACCCCATCACCTTCAAAACACAACCCCAGTCAACACTAGCACATGTACAGTATCAATGATAATCACTCAGTAACATTCATCCTTAATGCACGCTGAAATCTACACCACTCTGAAAAATAAGTTGAGTGATTGCATCACGACCTTCAAAATGTGTTCAAAATCAGTTGCACATTCACAAATCAGGCTAGGCATCACCTTAACGACTTGATTTCGCATCTCAAACGTGAACACGCTGGACAGGAAGCAAACAAACTGTAAGTCGTTCAAAGGAAAATAAAAAAAGGTGTCAAGGAGAAAATCTGGCGACTTATTTTTGTTTCTCTCCTGACACAGACTTTGTGGCTCAGTTTGCCCGCCTGTACGCAACTCACAACATAAATCTGCAATCAGCACCCATAATCTTCCACGTACATCTCAATGATAAATATAAATATTTCACACAGTAGAAAGTCAAACTTTTGTTATTGCTTCTAGCGGATTTACGCCGCTAAGACCCGGGTCAAATATTCAATGTTTTTCAATGTGTGATAAAGCCATCGTGAGACGGGCGGGTGGGGTTTTTCAAAGGAGACAATAAAAAAAGTGCACAGGCGCAGGAAAAAAGGAATATTATTTTCTCACCAACTAGCAACTTTGCTGACACTATCTACATAAAGCGGTGCAGGAATGAGTCCTAAAACCCAGAAAGGAGTTAGCATGTACTACTTCCGCTTCCCTTCTCTCAAAGGTTTTTTTTCATGCTTTTGGTTAGATGACTGAAACAAGATCTGACGTAAGTTTAAGAGATTTTCAAGTTTTGTTCTAAAACACAAAATACGTCGGTAAATACTCCACTAATACATATCTGAAGCTTCTATGCGTAATAAAAACAGTGGTTGTTAACAAGTGACTAATTGAGGCAGAACATTAGCCGTCTTTGGCTCAGCGGTGGTGATGCGCAGCCATGCGACCATGATGTAGTTTGTTTAAAGCGTTAGCTTTTTACTTCTTGCAATTTAAGTTACGCTTCAAAAATGGTAAATGTGTGAATATGAGGAGATACCTTGCTCAACATCAATGTAAGTATCATAAACGTGTTTGCCAAAAATTTTCTGCAAAATTACGAAATCCAGTGGAAAAATCCCATCTCGAGGGAGCTCTTTGAAGCTTACTTCCGGGTCGGCATTTCAAATGACATCATCACTGCACCACTCTGTTGTGAGCTCCACCCGCTCCGTAGCTCCTTCAAATTGAAAAACTAATTATTTGCACATGATCTTTGACCCAAGTTCAGTTCAGAGTTTTCCTCCATCCACATTTGACCTATAAACAATTCACCAGATTCAACAAACCCCTCTGGGAATATGGCAAAACACTGTCAATCCATGTGTGTTTATATGTGTGGAGGTGTTTGTCTGTAACAGTTTTTCGGAGAGCGCACATGATGAGGTATGCGCCGTGCAGATGTGTAGATTTGAATGCATATATGTAACAGCGCCTCCAGGGTCCTCATCTGGGCCCGCCACTCCTCCAGATGAGAATATTGCTTCTTTCAGCTTCTGGTGCCGCGAACGCACCGCCTTTTATCTTCCGACCTTTAACATTTCAACACAAACATTCTGATAATTCAAACTGCTGCCCAGTACAGATACCAGGCACAACAACATATATTACCTTTGTGCAAAAAATCAGCCCTTGATTTTTTTTTCTTTTTGCCTCGTATATAATTTTTAAATTCTTTGTCTTCTGTTTGTGCAAGCATGCTTCAGTTCCGAAGAGACTGGCTGTGCAATGGAGTCCAAAGACAAGGAGGGAAGGAGGGAGGGAGGACAGTTGGTAAGGGCAGTGGAGAGGGGCATTGTGGGGATTGAAGTCCTCAGCTTCTACCTGGAGATCATAGAGCTGGACTGTGATTGGCTGGAGGATGTGGTGGCAGCGCTGAGCTGAGAGAAGCCGCTGTGGCTCGACTCCAGGCTGGTCATGGAGCCCCTGAGGAGACAGAGACAGAGAGACAGACAGAGACAGAGACAGAGAGACAGAGACAGAGAGACAGAGACAGAGACAGAGACAGAGACAGAGACAGAGACAGAGAGAGAGAGAGAGAGAGAGAGAGAGAGAGAGAGAGAGAGAGAGAGAGAGAGAGAGAGAGAGAGAGAGAGAGAGAGAGAGAGAGAGAGAGAGAGAGAATTACTCAATGTCTACTTGCCAGGACTCAATGTGGAGTACCCCCTAAGTTTTATGTTAGAAATGTAGAGTACGGGTCCCCAGCTCATAGAAACTGACAGCCGCTAACTTACATGTGTTGGGCAATTTACACAATTGGTATAAATTGCATCACTTAGCATTAATTACCATATGCAGACAATAGCTAAAATAGTGGCTTGGCCAATTTTGGAGTGATTTTCTAGGTATATTTAGGATGTTGAATCAATTTTAAGGATAAAAATGGCAGTTTTGAGTCCTCTCAAACTTTAAAATCGACCCAAATTCATCAAAATCAGCCTGCCGGGTGTACAAATATTGCCATTTTCTGGTTAAAACTACAATTATTTATTCAGTAAAGGTGAGAAATTGATTCAACCTCCTCCTTTACATTAATTTGACATGAATGAATCTAAAAGGGACAACTTAGTATCACTTTTTTCAGGCCTATGTATATAACATCTCCCTACAGTTAAGGGTTAAGTTACATTAAGGGTTTCCTTAGGGGTCATTTTTTTTAAGGTCATCAAATACAACTAGAGATGTTTAAATGTTCATTCAAAAACCCAAGTAGAAGTTTCAATGTAAAAGAAACAACATTGGGTACAGCCCGATTGAATATGTTGTTCTGCAGGTACATTACAGACTTGTTTTGGACAATCCTGGTATATACAAATACAATGAGTTAGATGTTAATCTTAGAGTCTGTTTCAGAAGTCAACGTAAAATGAAACAACAGGAAGTAAAATTCTGTAAGTAGGTAGTGAAATAAACAAAGTTAGTGAAGAAAAACTAAAACAAACGGCAGGAAATGTTTCTGTAAGAAGGGTTTCAAGTGCATGTGTTGGTGTGTGTTGCGTATATGAACACCAGTGTTCATTTTGTTAACATCAGCTATGACTAAATATGTTCACCAACAACCTTTTTTTCCATAAGACTAAAATTGACAATAATGTACAAAATTGTTGACAAATGAATAATGACACCAAGAAACGAGGTCTTGTTTCGGCTAGACTAGGTGGAATGGGATGTGATGACACATTTTGTATTCACTGAATGTAAAATAGTTTGGTCATTTTATCCAACTGGGTGTTTCCAGAATTGGAGGACATTTTCTATCCCACCTATGAAAGTTCAAATAACCCATGCCCAACATTTAAAAAAATGCACTTGTCCTAAGACACAATGTTAATAAAGTTGATAAAAAGTGTTGATAATATCAGATAGCACCCCGTAAAATGTCATTTTAAAATGCCCATACATTTAAAGGTGGGGTAGGTAAGTTTGAGAAACCGGCTCGAGATACACTTTTTGTTGTATTCCATGGAATGCTCTTAACATCCCGATAGCAATGAATATCTTAAGTGCTTTGACAAAAAATCCATAAAAAAATGTCATCTGTGGAAGCCGTAGAACTGTAAAAAGCACGACCAATCATTTTAGCCGGCCCGGCTAAAATAACTGGATGGCCTACCTGCCTGTCAGCCTTCCATCTGTGCACAAACTTATCTCGTGCCCTCATTGGTCATGTGCGCGTTCGTGTGTGTTGGAGGCGGGGCTCTGTAAGGAAGTGGCAGATTTTTTCCGGCTGTGTATTTTCAAATTCTAGCGATCTCGAGCCGGTTTCTCCAAAATGACCTACCCCACCTTTAAGCAACTAACACTTGATGGAAAAAATGGGTTGGCTAAATAATATCAAAACTGACATTTCAAAAAGATAAAAGCTGACAAAATGGACACACTTGGGTATAAAGCAGTGAAGCACTAGTTAGCTGATTTAACCCTGTCTGGGATTTCTGATGTTGTTAGTCATGCAGTAAGAACACTGCAGTCTCAGAGCAAGGATCATGTCTTCAGTGTGATCAAAGCATCCTGTTAGCTTAATGCTAACAAAAGCGGTTAACAAGATGCAAACAGGAAGCAACTTTCTGCTGCATCACAAGCATGACTGCCGCAATGACAATGAGCTAGTGCTAAAGGAAGGAGGGGCAAACACTGAGCCACTTACAAACTCTGCACATCGTAGCAAGCCGTTCTTCACAGGAAGAAGACAGAGCAGAAGGAGAGGATTGGAAAGCTGGATTAAAAGAGTCTCTGAAGGAGGGAAGCATTTCAAAAACTTTGGGGCCTAAAAACTCATGATTTTCTAAAGGCTCCTCATATTACAGATTTTAAATTGATATCCAATGTAATACGGGGGCATTATAGCTTGTTGAGAGGGGGGAAATAAAGAACAAAGAGGGAGCAGTCAAAGAAATTATGTTTTGAAATGAAACATAATGGTAAAAAACGTAAAACAGAAATATGGATAGACACACTTCACGTATATAGCATGGGCCCTGTGTCTACAAAGCGTCTTATCCATGGGAAGAAAAACACACCCAGCTGTTTTTAAATGTTTCTATGGCAACAATTTCTAAACACATCACCACTTCCGTTTGACAGAGTAGCTACTCCCCATTTGGTTTTTATGGTCTGTTTGTGGTTCTTTATATACTATATCTCACACTCTGTATGATAGGAATCCACAGCTTAGTCTGACAAGTGATAAGGATGTATCGTATACGCAGATAAACGTACAACACTCAGCGGCCTCTGCTCATTGGAAACAATTGAAAAAAGATGTTTAGATAAAGGCGCTTTACACACACACACACACACACACACACACACACACACACACACACACTTACCTAAAGTCCTCAGAGCCCAGCACCTCGGTGTAGAACATGACTTTGCACTTGTGCGAGGAGACCTGCAGGGTGGCCAGCACGTCGTCCACTCGGGGCAGGTTGGTGGCGGAGCAGGCCGGCATGTTGTGGAACTTCCACTGCAGGATGTAGAAACCAGGCCAACGCGTGATATGGGAGCCCTGAAGAGAGGAGGCATTCAAAGTACGATGTTAGTGACCGAAAAGCAAAAACAACTCAATAAAAACTTAAGGGAGAACATTCAATCATGTTAAGAATAATAACTTGCTGATCATGATGACTCACAAGTTTATGAGACTAGTATTTACTAGTAAAAGTTACTTACTAAATTGAGGGGAGATCAAAACCAATAAAGTAGAAATGTAATGTAAGAAGTTTTAGGGAAAACTGCTATTTTTCATCCTGAAAAGGTCAGAAATGGGTTCAGCATCCTCAATAACCCCCAAAACCAATCAAATTGTCTAAATTAACCAAGCCATGTTTTAACTATTGCCTGCGTACGATATAATGCTAATTATGCAAATTGCCCAACATATGCAAGTTGGAGAAGCCTGTGACCTAAGATTTTCAACGACATAATTACTCTGTAGCTATGTTAGTTTGACAATAATGAACCTTGAACCTTGTTAGTATCCGGCAGCTTTAAAGGTAGGGTAGTTAAGTTTGAGAAACCGGCTCGAGATACACTTTTTGTTATATTCCATGGAATGCTCTTAACATCCCGATAGCAATGAATATCTTAAGTGCTTTGACAAAAAATCCATAACAAAATGTCATCTGTGGAAGCCGTAGTACTGTAAAAAGCACGACCAATCATTTTAGCCGGCCCGGCTAAAATAACTGGATGGCCTACCTGCTTGTCAGCTAGTGTTAATTTCGTTGACTAAAACTATGACGAAATATGTTCGTCAACGACCTTTTTTTCCATGACGAAAACGAGACGATGACGAGACGGCACCGACGGCAGTAAACAATAACTGTAACGAAATCATCATGCAATATCGTTGACGAAAAGTGACGAGACGAAAATGTAGTTTACTAAATAAAAACTATGCCAAAATCTCTCTTTACTTTCGTTGACGAAAAATGAGGAGACGAAATATTATCAAAGATAACGTTACATCTCTGATAGTCAGTTTTTCTCCCAGCAGTTCAATTTCCGGTGCTGCGGCTGGGTGCAGCAGCTGTGTGTCTGTGCCGCGCACGGCGGTACATTTGAAATACACCGGACAGCGGCACACTGTGAACTGTCAGGAAGACTCGGGTCTAACTCATGGTCTAACTAACCTTATTTAACAGAAAATAAAATGGCAACAACAGGGATTGGGAGCAGTGGTCGCACTCGCGTTAACCGAATACCCCCCCGTCAGCGCGAGTGAGTGATACATTGTGCACTCGACGGGTAATAATGGATTATGACGGAAATGTTACGATCTTGTCCGTCAAAATTACTGACAACGAAAAAGTATAAAGCCACCACTGCTTGGGAGAAAGAAACGATGTGATATTTGGGCCCATTTTCGCTACAATGAGGCGGAGAAAAAAAGCGAATGCATTGTTTTATCAGAAGGGAAGCAATGTGGCCATAACACAGCTGAAACACCACAAACCTGACCAGATACTCTGCAAAGCTGCTTTCTTAATCATTCAACCTGTGTTTTTCATCAAATAAGGACAAGATATAATCTTATTGTGAAATAAGTTTGACTAAAATGACAAATTATTGGTTTTGGCTAGACTAGTTTGACTGAAATGTTCAATATAATCTGATGACTAAAAAAGACTCAACAGTTTTCATTGACAAAAAGTAGACTAAAATAATTAGTTTTCTTCGACTAAAATAAGATTAAAATGCTCAGACTTTTAGTCGACTAAATCTTGACTAAAATAGTTACTGTTTTAGTCGACTAAAACTTGACTAAATAAAAACAGGATGAAGGTGACTAAATATGACTAAAACGAAAAAGGAAATTTAACACAGGACTATGACTAAAACTAAATTAAAAAATAGCTGACGAAATTAACACTACTGTCAGCCTTCCATCTGTGCACAAACTTATCTCGTGCCCTCATTGGTCATGTGCGCGTTCGTGTGTGTTGGAGGAGGGGCTCTATAAGGAAGTGGCAGATTTTCTCCGGATGTGTATTTTCAAATTCTAGCGATCTCGAGCCGGTTTCTCAAACTTACCTACCCTACCTTTAATGTGTCGAGACCCGTACTATACATTTCTTAAACATAAAGCGTAAGCGTACTCAAACATTTCCGGGTTCACAGTGCTGGCAAATAAACTATAAAGTATCCAGATTGGTCGTAACGTTTAAAGCGATAACAGCCCCCCCCCAAAAAACTAATAATGGCAGCACAATCCTGGAAGCTCACCTGCACACTCTCGCCCTCCCTGCAGGTGAGGGGGGACTCCACCATGCTGAAGTCCTTCCCCAGCACCCAGGACTTGTCTATCAGCTGGACGTTGTTTCCCACGGGGGAGGTGATGCCGTGTGCTCCCAGGGGGTCTTTACGAGGAGGTGCGGGGGCCCTCTTGGAGTGGTAAATGTTGAAGACCACATCGCCTTTGCACATGTCAAAGTCCCAGGTGATGACGGAGGAGGCGTCGATGATCTCGATCAGAAGCTGTTAGAGGGAGAAGGGTGGGAGGTTCAACAGATATGAGTGGGTTGGCTAGAAATTGCGAGATGTTTCAGGAGAGAACTAAACCAAAGAAAAACGAAATATTTGACCTCTTAATTATCATTTATGTTTTAATGGAATCCTTCTTTGTGACCGGCCACAGCACTATGGCTGTAACACTTCATTATCTATATCAACATTTCAATACATTGCACCTTTTATTACTTACAATATATATAACTGTGATGCAAGTCAAATTTCAGACTTGATGTGACCATATAAAGTATTATCGTATCGCCACAACAAAAATATAAAATAACCAAAACATTCATTTGAAAAACGATTCAATAAAAGCTGCTAATATATTACCAAAGGAAAATGTAGGTGAGGCCCGACTGTGAACCTTGCAATATTTATTCAAAAGGCATTGATTTTGTGGTATACTCATCATTTTCATTATATGTTGCTCCGTATTTAGGCACAAGCCAAATGTGGCAAAATAAAAACCCTGTCGGTGACAGAGGCAAACATGAACATCTGTTTGTGAGGTTATGAGCTCATTAACACAAAATCAAAACCATTACCAGAGGGGATATTATATGTGACGATGCATTTCTTCCTATGGGACAAATGATGTAACAGGATTATTATGTCACTGGAGACGGATTATGTTTCAAAACTGTGCCATGTCTGGATTTAAAAAACACAAAGTCCACTAACCCCTTGCTGCTAAATACCAATCAACTATGTGCAATATGTGCAATATATATATATATGCCGTTAATAACTGTGTAATTTATAACTGACTGCTAATCCTTAGAACCGTTACAAGGTGTGTTTTTTTGCATTTTGTATCTTGTAAATTGTGTAACGTGCTGCAGTTAAATACCATCATACTATGTGCAATATGTGCTATATGTGCAATATATACATTATATACATATGCCATTAATAACTGTGTAATATATACCTGGCTGCTAAATCCTAACAACTGTTACAGGATTTGTATTTTGGAAAGTATTTTTCTTTTACTTTTATTTTTTATATTATATTTTTTATTATATCATAACTTAGTACTTTTTTCTTAACATAGGTAACATTAAGCTGTCTGTGGCTCTTTCCTGCTGTAACGATGCAAATGTCCCCTCTGTGGGACTAATAAAGGGATTCTGATTCTGAACACAAACAGCCACTAGATGGCAGACCTTTTCAAAAAGCAAAACCGCCATAAGGCAGCACTCTTCTCTCTTGCCCTATATTTGGATGGAAAACATCGCCACAGAATCTCCATCTTTTTTCTCATTTTGATGAGACGCCTCACCTCGTGTGGAGCTCCCTTGAAGACGCTGGCGCTTTGGTAGATGGTCTCGGTCCACAGGCGGACATCTTCGGTCTCCAGCTCCTCGGTTGTGCGGTACATGGACTTAGGAACCAGGCCGCCCTCCGGTACCTCACACTACACACACACACACACACACACACACACACACACACACACACACACACACACACACACACACACACACACACACACACACACACACACACACACACACACACACACACACACACACACACACACACACACACACACACACACACACACACACACACACACACACACACACACACACACACACACACACACACACACACACACACACACACACACACACACACACACACACACACACACACACACACACACACACACACACACACACACACACACACACACACACACACACACACACACACACACACACACACACACACACACACACAGGTCAGTGAAGGTCATCAGTGTCTCTGAAAGCTCATATTCAGAACTAGGGCTGCAATAAACCAACCGATCAAACTTCCTATGCTTCATAACTATTGTCATTATATTTTATTTGATCTTTTCTGTACATTTTAATTTAATTTTCTATGTTTCTATAAATATCGTTATTTATTTTATCACTTTAATGCACATTCTTATATTTATATAAATATTTGTTTTCAATTTTACTTAATGGTAACTTTTATTTTCCTTTAACTTCATATGAACTTTTAATATGATTTTTTTATATTTCAACTTGACATTGCACATTCTTAGTCCTTGTGTATTTTGTTATTTTATTAGACTTCTTGCTTTAACTTCATCTTTGTATAAATATCTTTATTTTGTTTTATCTTTTTATTGCACATTCCTACTTTAACTTCTTCTTATGTTTTCATATATAGCATACTTATGTTGTTATTTATTTTTGATTGAATTCTTATAGAGAGCAACTGTGGAAAAACCCAATAAACCCCAGGATAATTAAAGTATTCTGAATCTGCCAATTCTTTTCTTGATCAATTCTAGATTCATTGTATGGTTTATAAAATGTCTGAACTTTTTCCATCATATTTTCGAGTTTGTCTTTAAATGTCTTGTTTGATCCAAAACCCAGAGAAAGCAGAAAAATCAATCATCAGAAATGTTCAGTCGATCTCAGTCTACCAATCATTGCAGCTTTGTTTATAAACCATAATCCCAAAAGAGGTGTGATCTTTCTCTGACACTCACCATACACTCTCCTGCCAGGAAGTCAGGGATGATCTCCTTGTCGATGTAGTCCACCAGCCCTCCAGGACCCTGGTAGTCATTGCCGGCATAGATGAGGAACTTCTTGCGGGTGTTTTCATCGATGAATGGACTCACCTAAAGGAAGAGGCAGATGTAGATATGTTTAGATGGTCTTCCTAGTTATTCCATGGCAAAGGTGTTTGAAATGAAAGCAAGAATAAGAGCAAAGCAGGATCCATGTACATTGACTTGTACAGACTCTGTTCGTTAATAGGGACTTTTTCAGTCTTTTCTATGTTTATTTTTAAGGTCATAGTCCTGTTATACTGAGCTGTGATATAATGATATCTAAATGGGAGCGATTGGGGTATCATAAACGTGTTTGACACAGATGTTATTTTCTGCTATAATCCCATTGCTTTTTGTTGAGGGACCCCTTGTGAACTTCTGGATGGGCCTACGAAATCGTCATCACTGCATCACTCTATAGAGCACAATGAACGGCAGTACTTACTGAAATTAGCTGAATTGTGCTGAATCCGGTATCCGTTTAGTTTGATACGTAAGGGATAATCCTGCTAAATACACGGCCACATACTAAACAAACTAACAACTTCATCCCAAATATTAGTTGAAATGATTTTATTGACTTAAAAATGATCGTATTGCACTTCCAATTCCACTAACAAGTCCTTAAACACCACAGAGCCCATTCTGTGTTCCCGTTAGTGTTTACTTCCTGTCTGTCTGCTTCTGTTCATTTATCTGACGTCCAAAGCTTTGTCTTTTAACCTCTTTCCTTCTCTCCCTTGATCCTCCTTAGTAACAGTCATTATTATGCTTAGCATTGGTATGATATAGAGTATTAATAACATCTTAAATGTCCGAATTGACCAATCAGAATCGAGTATTCAACTAAGCTGTGTAATAATAAAAACAACACCCCTATCTCCATTTCTGAAGAACGATCGCAGATCTTTCCCATCCATATAAACATGTGCTGTGAGAAGTCTATGCTGGATGCTGTGTGCTCCAAGTACTGACCAGGGTCCAGAGGACAGGAAACACCCTGGGCGCTCTCAGGATGAGCAGCCGGCCCAGGGTCTCGGGGTAGTTTGCCTCCACCACCTCGATGATCCTCAGCAGCGCCTTGACCCCCGGCCGCCACAGGTGACGCATGTTCAGCCCCTCCAGATCCACTAGACACGTCCAGCAGCTACAGGAGAGGGCGGGGAGAGTTACAGCTCCAAGTACTTAGAGGGTTTGACATATTTTAAGTGGGCTGCCAGTCAGAGTCAGGTCTTGCAAATAAATATCCAAAATAGTTAACAAATAGTTCAGTCAAATCAGTCAAAATCATACACAAAGATTTCTTCATTAGTGAATTATCACCTCCATCACAGAAATGCAATACAAATAAACCACTCATATATTTTCATCATATGTATTCAATGGGGAAAAACAACACAATATTATATCAGTGTGCGTGAAATGTGTGCGGTGAAAGAGTTCAGCATTTACAGTAATCCGCTCAATAAAGAGTCCAGTTGGGTTACTTGGGTAACACACACATAATTCGGTTCAGTCCAGTTCATAGGCCCACAAATAAAGGCAACTCCAAAAAGTCCACACACAGGCCACTGCCTCATTCCGACCACTTAGCACCCCTCACTCGGGAGTGAAGCTTCAGCGGTGAAAGCAAAACTTACTAATTCTAGACGCCCACCCCCCCTTACATCCTCCCTTACCCATCTATGCAGGCTTCTACGTGACAGCCATTCATAGTTTGCATGCCTTCCTGCTGGCTCTTATCCATGTCGCCTCCTGCTGTTAGAGGAGGCTGCCAAATACCACATATCTCAACCCCCCCACCACCACTCTCTTGATTGCTGCTTGAATCTAAACACTAACGGTACGTCCACACGGCAGCGTGCGTTGAAGCTTGCCGGTGGGCGTGTCTGGAGCGTGACCAACAACCAATCACATTAATCTCCTGCCCCGGACACACAAGCACGCGGTTTGATTGGCTAGAGCTTGTACTGGCATATGATTTGATTGGTTGACGCTTCCGTCGAAGCTTGAAAAGTTGAACTTTTCTCAACTTTCGAAGCGAGCAACGGAGGCAAAGCGACGCGACTGAACCACAATGCAGTTCGGCAAAGCGTGACGTTACCCATTCAAAGTGAATGGGAAGTTGCGGCCCGTCCACACGGAGACGAAAACGAACCGAAGTCGATATCAAAAAAGTCTTCCGTCCACACGGAATCGGCTCAAGAAACGTGTCAGTCCACACGAGACCGCTCGACCCTCTGGAGACGCTGTAGTACATATGCCGGGTCTGTAAGTGGCGCTGTACTTCCGCCACAAAATACACCAAAAGCAGCGAATAAGACCCCGCGAGCATGGTTGCCATGCCCTAACCCTTCTGGTTATTCCCCGTGGTGGATTTAGCAACATGTAGTTCATGTAATTCTCCATGTCCACTTGTTGCTGATGGTTGTGGTAGAGGAGCTGTCGATTTTGCACTAACATCTGTATCATGGTCAGTAGCGTCTGGAGCACGAACGCGACCGTGTGATTCGCCATTGTTGTTGTTGTTGGCGAAACGCATCAGCAATGACACGGGTGACGCGGGGGTGAGCAGGAGAGGTGGGGAGAGGCGGGGCTATGATCGTATAGGGCGTACACACGGAGCCGCAAGCGTTTCGTTACCAGACCTTCCCACTTTGGGATGCGTTATCGTTTGAGGGCTCCGTTTCCGCGTTTCCGTGTCGGCCTCGTGTGGACTTCAGACCAGGGCCTACTGGCTGTCCCACGGTCTCTTATAAAAACTAAAGGTGACCGTGCCTTTCAGGTGGACCTCCAACACTGTGGAACTCTCTCCCTATAGTCATCCGCTCTGCAGTCTCTGTAGAAGCTTTTAAAAAACTACTGAAGACCCATCTTTTTACATTGGCTTTTGTTTATACTTGAGATGTGTGTGATGTGTTCTGTTCTTATGTTTGTTCCTTTCAGGACTCCACGTGGTCTGTGTTTTGTTTTTATGTTGACCTTAAACATTTCTGCCTCATGTTGTTATTGTATTCATGTTTCTGTGGTCTTGATTTTAACTTTTGTTCTTTCTTGTGAAGCACTTTGTGAATTCTATTTCTGTGAAAGGTGCTATACTAAATAAACGTATTACTGTAGGAGGGTGGGGCGGAAAACATTTCAATATAAAAAAATGTCAGAAAATTGTGAAAAATAAAATAATAAATCAAAGATATTAAACAAAATTAAGAAAGTAGAAATATAGACTGTGATCATCAAAATGGTTGACTACTCATTTTTCTGTTGCTCTGCTCAAACTGATTAATTTTCCCCCGCTCTACATTGATCTGGACAGAAGATTTACCTGATGGGTCGGCCGAACACCTTTGTGTTCTCCTCGCAGCGCCTCAGCCCCTCCTCATTAATAGACAGCACCTGAAAAGACACAACGTGACATCAGTGATCTCCTGAGTGTTTGGCTCACTGTAACCTGAACTAACAGTGAGTGCAACATCATACATAAGCAGGCTATTTATACATGTACAGTAGCGTTTACATCCTGCTGTTGATACACTTGTCATGGCATGCCAGGGTTCATTAATGCCCTAACCTGTAATCCAGCCACCAGCTGCCGGGCCTATAAACCTATCGACTTCACATTGTGCCCGCTGCCAGGCGCAGGCTGTGTTTGTGTTACGTACGTGTCTGAGCAGAGACTCCTCTCCGAGAGCGCGGACCAGTCCTTTGGTGTCCATCTGACCCAACCTCAGGACGTACAGAGGCCGACCATCTGGAGGAGGAAAACAAACATTTATTTATCACGCCGTTTGCTTTCTACAGGGCTGCCTGTTAAATAGAAATGTCTGCATAGCCTATTGTGTAAGGCAATAATTCACTAAGAAATGCTTTCCTATGTGTTGATCTCATTCAAGGACTTGTGGAAATATAAACTGTATACTGATGTTTGTAATTTAAATAAGATGTATATTGTCAACCCTCTGTTAGGTAGAGTGTGAGCTTTTTGGGTAACTATGTAATGCCGATACATTTGCCTCATGATAATTGATTTGCATGGCTGAGGGTTGCTTGTTGCATGTTTGTTTATAAGAACCTGAAGAACCTAAATATTCCTTAAGTGAAGTAAAGCCAGCTCTGAAAAGGACTACATAAATAATAAATGTATGTGTGTTTCCATACGTGCGCATGAGACATAGATTTATTTTTCTTAACCAGATTCTACGGTTTTTCCCACTCAACAACAATTTGCACATATTGTACTTTCACTACCTCACTGCATTACAATGTAGTTAAAGAAATGAAACTACTTCGCACACTTTTATAATATAAAGTATCCACTGTTCTTGAGTTTTTTAACTTGTTATGTATATTTTATATTGAGTATACTAGATATATATATTTATACTGTTGAAATGTATGTATTTACTGTTTATTTGTATTTCTTCTTTACTTTTATTACATTTTTAACTCTTGTGAAACGCCTGTTAATATGCTGCTGTGACGAAACAATTTCCCAATTTGGGATTAATACACTATTTATCATCTAATTTTATGCAAAATGTTCAACTGTCTTTGAGTATACCTGTGGATTTGACCATTTTAATGTTTTGCTTTTAATTCAATGCACACACTGATGCCCTCCGTTAGGTCCTACCTCTGTCGTGGTGGTGCCAGCCTCCGGTGTAGAAGTCCTGGAGGACCTGAGGTGAGCTCCAGGTCTCCAGCAGGTAGTCCACCTGGTGCTGCTTCCTCCAGGTCAGCGACTGGCAGAGGAACTCCCGTGCCTTGTCCATGTTGAAGTCCCTGGCACGCAAGAAGCGCAGTATGTGCTCGTCCTTAGGGATCTGGACAGGAAGGAAAGAGCGTTTTGTAAATAAAAAAACTAAACTTTCACTAACAATAAAATGTCTGATCTCATGGGTTACACTGGTGTTGGAACCGGTTTAGTTAACAGTGGGAAAATGTCTTCACTGTGGCATTCCTAGTGGACAGTAAGCCTTCTAAACATTTCTAAATTCATTATAGCTGAAAATTGCTACAGAGTCGTAAAACATCGATACGAGTTGGCATTTTACCACTTTTGGTTCCCTCGTTTCAAAGTCAATGGTTTTTTTAATTCGATTTTGATTAAATGCCTAAAATAATGTAAATGGTTAGTCAATACCCAATGTGGAAAATTCTTAATTTTGACATGTCATAAAAAAGGCGGTTGCTAACAAGTGTCTAAATGAGACTACTAAACGTCATCACGACAAACAGTAGCCGCCTTTAGCTTAGCAGTGGTGATGCGCAGCCAGAGGATCGTAACTTAGTTTGTGTACAGCCTAACGTAAGCTTTTACTTCTGGTGATTGCATTTACACCTATAAAATCATAAAAGTGGTGTTAATATGTGGAGATTTTCCTGCTGAAAATAAAATCGTGCTTTTTGCTTCTTTGTCAAGGTAGCCCTTTCGATGCTAATTTCCAGTTCGGCCTCCAAAAACACATCACCATTGCACCAATCTATTATGTTTGATTTCAACATAACTACAAGTGTTAAACAGTTACCTTTCCCTTGTGCGTCTCCTGCAGCCATTTGCGAAGTCTGATCAGACAGCTCTCCTGCAGGGGGGTCAGGTCGCCTAGGTAACGTTTGATATAGTCCGCATCCAACTTATCTGAAACACCAACAACATCTCAAATCAACATTATTCAGTCAAACACTTCTGTGTTAATTAATCTGTAGTATACACAAACAAAACCCAATAACAGGTCAATAACTGCCATTTCTCTGTCATTCTAAGACCTTTTAAGGTTGAACTTTCCTTTATTTTCATATTTTGCTAGCAAATGTGCATCCCTCCATTACTTAACAATGAGGCTTTGCTTTGTGTGTATTCTGCGGTTATATCTGTCAAGTCGTTTCCCTACTATGTATCAAACGTGCATATAGGGCTGGCTTTCTCTTTATGATCCTCTGCAGGAACAGACCTTCGGGTGTCCCCGTCAGGATCTCCGTCAGGACGTCTGCCTGAAGTGTGCTGCTGTCCTGCGTGTCCTCCTGAGAGTTGCTGTCCTTAGCGTTGATGGGCAGCGGGATAGAAATGGGGAGGGTGATGGCGGGTTTGGGGGGGACAGGTAGGCTGGTGAAGAGGCTGGTGGGTCTGGAGACAGGCAGGGGGAGGGAGGAGGGAGTCCAGCGCGGCACCTGGGTGATCCCTTCATCTTCAAGCTCCTTCAGGTAGAACTCGATGATTTCTTTTCCCTGTGAGGAAAACAAGTGGGGGGAAAAAGTGAGGATTAAGGCGGAAATGGCAGAAGAAGCTGTGAATTCAAGGAAATTAGATTAGAGTGAGGTATACAGACCAACATCACTCAAGATACTGTATCTCTGTGTACTAAGGAAAGCTTAGGCTCTGCATATATGTATTTGACCTGACACTGACCAATACTCACCCTTTCAGACTGGCTCTTAATGTGTGATTAATGTTGTGTCCTTGCGCTAAATGTTGTTTTATTAGCACATTTTTTTTATTCATTTTTACCACTGTTAAGTGTCTTTGAGCACCTGATAAAGGGCTTGAAAATCAAATGTATTATTATTATTTAGAATTTCAAACTGATGCCTTGTAAAAACAGGGGAAAGATATCATAAATGAAGGCAGATGACTCATTGGGTCCACAGCAGAAAAATCCTCTACAAGCTTATTTCTGCAATTACAGCATGAGGCAGACTGACTCATGCTTCAAAAACCTCTCAAATCAAAATATTGCTGTATTTTCTACCAATGTGTCTGTCTGTGGGTACAAAGAAAGCATAAGAGACACGTGTACATGTATTAAGTTACCTTTTTGATACTGCTGGCATACTGCTTCATAGCAATCTTTTCCACGTTGCTCTCAAAGCCGAAGAAGGACTTGATGTCCAGGCTGGCGGTCTGCTCGAAACACGTCCAGGCATCATTCTCCGGATGAACCTACAGAAAAGCATAAACAAACAATATATAGGAAACTTAATAAACACATGCAGGAACAAGATGCCCAGGTTATCATGGTTACCACACACCAAGGTTCACTAGATGATGACGCATACATGTGGCACTTGTCACACTGTGCACTGTGAGTGGGAGTGTGTGTGTCAGTCTGTGTGTATACAAATAGCCAGCCCCTTTACACATGCAGTGAGCAGCATGAAGGTTTTCAAAGGTAATGTCAAAAAGAAATCTCAGGAACGCCTTGACATGGGAATTTTAGGAATTTCTTAAAAAACTGGCACAAATGTTGACTTAGCCTTGAAAATAAAACACCAAAACTCATGAATTCATGCGGTTATTATGACAACAACAGGATAACATGATGATGATTTGGGACAGACATGGATTTAAACTACTTGACTGGTTGGAGGTCAAAGATAGTAAGGAAGGGAAAGATGCATCACTCTATAACAGCACTGTACAACTGGTAGTGGACCCAGTGTTTTATTATATAGTACCAGAGTGATAGGTTTTCTATATAGCAGATTGTCTTTGTGTTGTTAATATCAATTATTAAATCTCCTGAGAAGTTTTGATTAAGGACCCTCAGTATTTGGACTAAGAAGCACATGACAACTAAGGCATTGCCAAATGTAGATGTTCACAATGTTAATCACTTAGGTGAATATAACAAACTTTTCAGAGAACTAAAGAAAAAAAAGTTGAATGCTCCCTGAAGGCTTTGTGCTGGCACCATAACGCTTTGCTACCAAAGTATTTCAGCGTGAGCCAGGTCCATTAGCTCAGTGTAATTGAGCTGTCCAACCCAATAACTGTTCGCACAGTGTGCTAAAGCACACAATAAGAACCTCTGTGCGGCCTTGGACCTATAATTAGCATGACAGTTGGTTGGAGGCTAATAGGATGTGCTTGACCTCATTAACTTAGAGCACATCCATTCATGAATCGGCACATCTGAAGTCAGAGTTATGCACACAGCGGGGAGAAAACAGAAGACATGCTGGTTTCAGATCAGAAGTTCAGAGCGTTCAGTCAGAATGTGAGCGGAATGAATAATTCACAGAGAAAGAGCTAGCAAAATGCTTAGCACTAGTCTAAATATGGCTTTCTGTGCAGGGAAGCAGTGAAGAGATTAGAGGAGACACAAACATTAAAATGGCTGTGCTAGCAGCTTAACAGCAGCTTTACTGAACATGCGTGTGTTTGCTTATGTGTCTGTGGGGAAAAAGTATGTGGTTCTGTCAATCTCAATGGGTTGCAGGGCTGTACCAAATACTTCTTCCATAACGTTGACATTAGAACAAATATACTTAGCATGTGTGTTGCTTTTGCACTTAAATGGCACTGGGGTGAGTGTGTGCTACTGACCGAATAGCAGCAGGTCTCATGGATGATGACTCTGTTGGAGAAGGTGTCATTATGGGACTCGATGTGAAGTGTCCTCTCCTTGCGGTTGAGAGTGTTATTCTGGATGAAGTACACATAGTCCACACCCGCAATCTGCAAACCAAACACACAACTCATGTTACAAGAAACCAGACACCAAAAATAGGTATTATCCTAATGAACTACTATACGCCCAGCCATAAATGAACACGCAAATGTATTTGATGAAATTAAAATAAATTGAAGAAACGATTAATACTCTCAAAAACTCTGAAAAATAAATGTCAAAGCCATAGACTGTATATATAAAATATCAAAGCCAATTTCTTATGGAAGAAATATTCCAACAAACCATTACAAGGTGGCAAAACAAAACATGCAATGTGACAAAATTAGCTTTAACAAAGTGTGGGATTATATGGAACAATTATTATGTTCGGGCCATATGTCGCGTCTGTATTCAATTTGAAAAAAAAAGAAAACACCTTATACAATGCTATAATTGAGATGCCCATTAGCTGACGATCGTATGTGCATCGTACCCTTTTGAGCAGGCGCGGGGCGTCAACATCCAGGGCGCAGCGGCGCTGCACTCGGGTGGTGGAGCCGTCCTCGTTGGTCTCCTCTTCCACCACGTCACTCGCCACAAACATAGGGATCAGGTGACAGGTGGGGAACCGGCGCTCATAAGCCTGAAAAAGAAAAGGAAGCAGAATTGTCAGCTCACACACAGGTTTTTAATCTGGGAGGATATCTTTTAGGTATTCAGTTTCATTCTCAAAGAGAAAAGTTAACAAGGTTTCAATAACTTCCTTTATATGCTGTGCTGAGGGCAGACAATAAGAATCCTTGGTTGCTGATTGGCTAATGGTTACACAAGCCAAAAAAACCTTATGAAAATCATAAAGTGGCCAAAATCTGATCAGCTCATTTTCAGACAGGTTTTTATATAAATGGATCAGGACAAAAAGAGAGAGGGTCTTTGTTCCTGAAACTTTCAGAATCTCTTTGCACAGAGGGGACACATGGTTATGTATAAAATACATGAAAAAGTGGATTTTACATAATAGGTGACCTTTAAAGAAGTCATATTGTGGTTTTGGGTGTTTCCCCTTTCCTGTAGTGTGTAATATAGGTTTCTGTGCATGTAAATGGTCTGCAAAGGCTCAAATCCATGTGTTCCCTCCAGAGGGAGTTTCTCTCCCACACACTCGGCCCCCAGCCTGAAACGCCTCCATTGGACTCCTGTGTTTACTTCTGCCATATAGTGACAACATCACTTTTTATCATTTACGCTTCTATTGGCTAGCACTCAACACTTTGTACATGCATTTGCTTAGAGGCGGGACATTTCCAACACATCTGTAAGCAGTTGACCAATCCCAAGAGAGCCAGCCAGCTAACCAATCAGAGCAGACTGGGCTCTGATTTCAGACAGAGGGTGAGAAGAGGTGCTGCAGCACAGGCAGTATGAGAAAAATAAAGAGCTTTTTGACATTAAACATGTCAACATATCACAGTAGAAACACTAAATACTGATATTAACCTGTAAATGAGCAGAGTATGTCCTCTTTGATGGTTGTTCAAATGCAGGTTCAAAGCTGACCTGTAGCACTTTGCAGCATGGGAAACATAGAAATCCCTATAAGCTTTAAGCAGGTAATTCCATCTTATATAACAATTATTAGAAAACAGTTGGCATACTCTATAAGAATGCAAGAATTGAGCCAAGAGTGACTGGAGAATGTGAATAGGTGGGCAGAGAATAGCTGCTGCAATCAAGTGAGAGACCACAACAAAGGCTCCTTTTCCTTTGCACCATTCCAAACTTCTCACTGGCCCACAAAGCACTTTTTAATTCCTTTACAATAAAGGGCTTAATACACAACAAGAGCTGCTGTGCCCAAGGGTCACACTGTGCCTCCAAATGAAGTGTTCTCGTGAAAGCAACACACAGGCAAACTCTGCTCTTATGCAACAGGGCCTTGGCTGGCAATATTCTTACTTTTCTTTATAGTCACAGTTCTTACATATTGTAGCAGATTTTGCATGGTTGCAGGAAAGTCTAAACACCAGGCTAGACTCAACAGCAAACTCACTGATGTTTGTGATAATGTGGGCTGGAGATGGCATGATAACGCTGAGTTGGTCTGAGACTCTTATATCGTATATCCTTCCTGAAAAACCCAACAGCGATTTCCTTCATTTTGGAAACTCTGTAGAGAATTGAGTTTCTAAGATATGAAATAATGCCTTTATCTAAGTGATAGAGCAATTGGGTGAATAGTGAGATTTTAAAAAAGGAACAGGGAAGCAAAAACAGACGTCAAGAAAACCAAAAGCTGGGGGGAATGTTGCAGTGCAAATCTACCACTTCATCAATGGAGATGGAGAGGATAACCATTGCCTGAGAAAGTGAAGCAGGGAAAGACTTTGCGAGATGAACTGAAAGAACAAGTGATGCTCACAAGACAGGGTCGGCTGAGTTAGTGTCAGCTGAGTCTCTCGAATAAAGGCTTGGTGTTCCATGGAGCACAGGACAACCCTCAATATGTCTTTAAGCTCAATTGAAAGCCATGAAAATGTAGATCACTGTGCCATGAATGTCAAAGTTGAACAAAAGCTATTGGGCCGCCATTTCTACCAAGTGAGCAATGCAGCGGCCTGGTTTTCACTGTTTGGTATGCTGATCAGCAACAGCTGTTGTGTGCGAGTAGGCAGTCAGTAGGGTTCAGCAGCTCTTGGCATACCACTGCCAGGGCTACTGAGCCATCCAGCTGCCCACTGTCCACTGACCGAGTGAATGCTGAGCTCTGTTTTTCAGCCCTGATGCTCTGGAACACTGAGCGCAGGCTTTGTACTGCCGTCAGCACAACACCACTGAGTGTAAACACATTAAAAACAACCATACACCAACAACAAACTCGACCACAAATGCGTATTTTAACACAATAGGATTACATACTGTACAAAAACATAGGGTTTACACTATGAGACAGTAAACCACTAAAGGGAAAAAGAACACTCCATCAGCGCCTTGTACTACTCAATGAAACAAGACAAAAGTAACAAGCAGCCCAACTTTGAGCTGCCCTTTGTGCACTGAAAACAACCATGCTGTTTTAGTGTTAAAAAAACAAAACAGGAAACAGGAGGGTCATGATACCAGGTTATTCCTGAAAAAGGGAATGTAAGGGCCTGCTCCACAGTGTTGCCAACTCCATAGTAAGGAAAGTATCTACTCAGGGCGACTGTGGTTCGATCCCAGCCCATGCAGTCAACATGTCAACGTATCCTTGGGCAAGATACTTAACCCTGAGTTGCTTCCGATGGCCAACGGTGTGTGAATGTGTGTGAATGTTAGGTCCTAGAGTAAGGTACACTGCTCTGTATGAATGGGTGTGAATGGGTGAATGACATGTAGTATGTAAAGCGCTTTGAGGGGTCTTAAAGACTGGATAAAGCGCTATATAAGTACAGTCCATTTACCATTTACCATATTGGCTGTCCGAAAAGTCACCAGAAGTCCCTAAATGGCGTCACCGCCTAATTTGCATATCATTATGGCGGCTGTAGGAGAGAGCATGGGAGAGAGGATTACAAAAAACATTCCACCCCCTTCAAGGATCAAAACTTGAAACCACCAGAGTAAATCCAGACGACAGTAGATCAGAGTCAATTGTTTTAGTATTAATTAATGGCAGCTTGCTTTGAGTGGCACTGTCATAAGGCCGTGACCTGTTGTTATTTAAAACTCTAACTAACTCTACTGGAACACACACATTTTGTCTCATCAATCTCTTGAAAGTACTCCCTGCGCAAGTGGTATTTACATTAGAACTTGTTAATTCAACTCTGTTCTATATTTTGTCCAGGATGTGTCAACTCAACATCAACAGGATCTAGTCTGCATTTACCTCATGACACTTTCTAAACCCTCATTCAGTCACACGTCATGCTGTGACGTTCTCTGCAGGCGTGACTCACAGTACACAGCTAAATGTGAGTATGGCTCCTCTTGTAATGTATTTATGAGTAGTACAGTATGGTGCTGTATGGTTGTAGGGACCACATTAGTTCCGCTAATTTGTAATATATAATATATATTACAAACCCTCGGCCTATAGGTCTCTTGGGACCAATATCAATGTGAAAACACTACTTCCTTGGTAGCATGAACCATCTCTGGAGATAATGAAAATGGTTGTGTAATCAACACAACAGAAAGCCCTGAGGTCAGCCTCTGCTATTTTTATCAGCTGGCTTCTCTGGTGAATGGGAACATGGGAACATTTTGGGCAGTTTTAAGATGAAGGTGCTTAGAGATGATATGAAAACACACTGGCAAACAAACACAGAAAAGCTGAGACACAGCAAACTATCTGAAAAGTACTCGCTACAGAGTTCTATGAGAACCACTTGACATGTTGTATTCATAGGTTTAGTCATTTGGAAGTTATTTGGAGTACGCCTTTAGTTGGTGTTAGGACAAACAAATGAGTCAGGATGACTTACACATTTGGTCTAAGTTGTAAACCAGGGATATGGTTTATTTTTAGAGGAAAAACAAATGACATGGTTAGCCAAATTAGCCAACTCTGGAATGTTGACATTTAGAGGAAAACTGTAATGTTTATTAATGTGAACCGTCCCTGGTTAATAAATAAATATACAAATACACCACAAACAGAATAAGACAATAGCGTGATGCAGTAATGAGTCCTAAAACCCAGAAAACAAAATGAAAGTTCTTAACGTCATCACACGATGTGCAGCCATGCGACCGTGATGTCGTTTGTTTATAGCCGAACCTTAGCTTTTTACTTCTGGCAAATGCTTTACGTTTCGAAAACCGTATAAGTGATGTAGATATGTGGAATTATCTTGCGCAAGAAAATGTTTAAGTAAAATAAACGTGTGTTTGCCAAAGACCTTATTTTCTGCAATATCCCGAAATCCAATGGAAAAATCCCATTGCTTTTTGTTGAAGGAGACCTTGCGATGCTAACTTCCGCATCTGCCTTCAGAAATCAACATCACTGCACCTCTCTATGAAAACGTATACAACCGAAGAAGAAATAAACATTTATCCAGGCTAACTAAAACAACTAACCATAAGTAAGAAAGTCTGCAGGAATGTTGTCCTCCACTCTCCATGTTGATACGTATGTTTAGACACACCTCAACTGACCGATTACAGGTTCCTGGATGTGCTTTTCAGGGGCGTATGAGAGAACATTCAGAAACAATACATGCTCATTTGATCCCTTCCTGCATACATAGAAAACCTTCTCTCTGTGGACAGCACACAATGTGGATAACGGCATGGGTATTGAATGATTTTTTCCTATTTTTCTGAGGAAGGGAGATTCAGGAAATCCAAGAGTTCCGAGGGGATACATAATAGGGCTGCATGGTGCATATTTACAGGCATAACATACTACTTTGCAAGACAACTCGAGCGTTGGCAGGCAGCCCAGCCATTATCTGGCTTTAGTTTATGGCAATACAACAACAACAAAATAAGTTAAATATAACTCCAAGCACGATCCAAACAAAAACAGGAAGAGGATAAGAACATTCCAAGTTGTTATGTTATTATTAATAACATTTTGAAGTGTAAGTGTGATATCTATGCTGAAATCACAACTTTACTTTGAGCAAATCAAGGACTGCTGAAAATATGAGTCAA